GTGCTGAGAACTTCATGCCCCTTTCATCAGCCCATCGCATGATCGGCACCAGTGACTCTTCCGCACGTTCAATCAAGGTGCGTCTGTTCGGGACCGCTACGCAGATGACAATATCATCGGCGTACGCCTGCGTCATCATGTACTCAGGGCTTGCGATTCTCAAAAGGGCCTCCATGGTCACATTCCAGAGGATTGGCCCCAGAATTGACCCCTGTGGGCAGCCMTTTGTTACACTTACTGTCTTTGACACTCCGCCTATACACATGGACGCAGTTCTCCCTTCGAGATAGTCCGCTWTCAGTGCTCTCATTTGGCCGTTTACCCCTAAGCTGATCAAGTCRCGTTGTAGAGCCGGCCATTGGAAGTTATCAAAAGCCCCAGATATGTCCAAGAACACCGAAATCACATATTGATCTCATCCCTGAGATCGCACCAGCACAGGAGGTTCTGGATCGCATCAGCCGTGGATTTCCCCGGCGTGAAACCAAATTGACGACCTGTCAGGCCTGGGCCAATCTGCTCCTGGAGCCTTACGTTTATTGCCTTCTCGATWAATTTGTCTAAGACCGGGAGTAGGCTCATCGGTCTGTAGGACTTGGGAGTTATGGCGACCCTGTCCTGGCCTTTCAGGATTGGTACCACTTGTGCGTGCTTCCATATAGTGGGAAATCTGGCAGTCCTGAAGGACCCATTCACAATGCTCAAAAGCTTCGACGCAGACGACGGCCACAGCGCTCTCAGCATCGCACCAGTGATTCCGTCCAATACGGAATAATTCATATCTACACGCTGATAAAATACACACACAAATTAAAGGTCAGAGTACAGGTAGATGGAAACCCTCTGGTCGCCGTGCCGTACCGTATTTCCCGTAATCGRTCGACTGCTATTGTTATTATTATATTCATATAGATATAMAAATTACATGTAAAAATTTTCTTTAACCGATTTCAACCCTTTAAAATTCAAAATTTCGAAAAATTCTTTCTTAGCGCACGTCTACATCATAATAGCTATCTGTATGCCAAATTTCAGCCAGATCCGTCCAATGGTTTGAGCTGTGAGTTGATAGCAGTCAATCAGCTTACTGTTTTATATATACAGATAATTATAATATAATATATATATAATATGTATATTATATGWATTACATATAAAGTACTGTTCTTATAAAATAAGTACATCAGGTCACCATAAGTATAGTATACAGGTAGTATTAAACATACCTGTTTTTTTGTTTCCGTAAAATGTGATATTTTAAATACTTCAAGCCAAATGACATCTTTAAACTCTTATTAATTATTAGCTAATATAAATTATAACCTTAAAACTGAACAACGTATATTGGATTTTGAATTTATAACCTAACTTTTCGTTATTATTTGTTTGTCATTATATTATTATGATGACAATATATTATCATGTTATTTTGAATTTATAACCTAACTTTCCATTATTATTTGACATCAACAGAGTTTATTTATATACTTTTGAATCAATTTTGAAAAATTATTGTGTGACATAGGGCGACATCTACTTTACGGTTTCGCTGCAATAGTACGTCACTCCTGAAATTAAATGAAATRCAACACAAYGCACAAGGTYCCTTATCACTAGAAATAGTCCATGGCTTTGTTACCCCAACTTCACACACATCATTCACTAACTAATTTAGATTTTGGTACTCCTAGTCATCAGTATTCATTGTTCACTTTAATTTGTGAAAAATTTATTTATATTAGATTGTGACATTACGAAAAACAGTTTAATGTCCAGAATGTTTTTAAAAACCGTTCTTCATTACGACAAAAACTTACAAGAATAATTTTATTTAATAACATCTAAAATTTGAGTTTTATTTTTCATTTTATAATTTTATTAATTCAATTATTTGATCCTTATTATATTAATTTTAATAATTAATTTTAAATAGAAATATTTTATTGTATTAAATTATTAAAATAATTTTGTATTCCTTTCATTTATTAATTTATATAGTAATTTGTATTAGTTGGTATTTATTCAATTATTTGATCATTATTATTATATTATTATTTTTTTAAATATTAATACTAATTTATAGTATAACAATTATTTTGTATTCAGTTTAAATAATAATAATAGAAGCTTAACAACGAATTTGTATGTAGATTTCAATGGGTGTAATACATTTCTTGCCCTTACGGAGTGGGGGGTAATGAACTATTCAAACGGCTCGTTTTTTCAGTGTTGCCGTAATAAGAAATAATCACTCCAGTTATTCTTTATTTCGATGCTGATAACACGAACCTACCTAAAATCAGTAGGGTCATATAACAGAAATAAATTAATGTACAACAACTTTTACCTTAATGCCCGGTGGCCTGGCTTGCTTATATTAGAAGTGGCCTGGTCCTGGTGTGATGAAAATAATTAATATTTAAAATATTTAGCTGTTTTTRATGATTGTAAAAACAACGAAAACAAATTAATAATGTGATATGTGAACCACCAATTATAAGTAGCAAATACTCTATTTTGCGATAATAACTAATAATAATAATAATAATAATAACTACTAATAACTCGTTTTCTTATTATCGGCCGTCTTATCATAATAATAGACAAGT